CCCAACACCCAAAGTTAACAGGGGAAAGGTTTATTTTTGGGGCACAGTTTATAGAGGCTTCAGTCCATAATCGGCTGGCTCCAAGGCAGGGTGGCACAGCAGAGGGGCATCACAGAAGGAGAAACAGTTCATAGCAAGCAGAAGGCAGTCAAAGCAGCAAGCAACAAACAGCAACCACAGCTTTCTGTCCCTTATATTCTATCTGTAGGGATAGAGACTCATAGGCAGGGAGAGATGAGGGGAACCCCCCCACACCGCTGCCAAGGAGTTCAGATAGCTGGCAGAACAGAGTTAACCACCCTTAAAAAACTGAGAATCTGCTTGCACCTCCTCTTCACACTGTACCCTGCAAAGCTTGATTTGCTAAGATCAAAAGGAAAAAAACCTTGGCCCTAAGATGTAAAAGGCCCCTGAAAAGACCCTTCCCTGTTGTCCCTAGTAAAGAGCTAAGTTAATCATTAACCAATCAAGTAGGGGCGCCCTCAGCCCAGAGCTAAGATAGGCCCCCACTACTATAAAACTAGCATCTTGAGCCCCCCTTCAATGTTGTCTGTTTTGGGGACCCCTCCCTGTCTGAGAGAAGGTAGCTGTATTCTTGCAAGCTTGCTGAATAAAAGTACAACTTGGCTTCTATCTGCTTCTATTTGCTTTCCATCTCTGATTCTTCTGCAACCCTCTGCGTTGTCAGGAGAATCAGGGCTGGGACTAGGGGGACCCTCCACCTGTCTCTGCCAGAGACATATCCAAGGTGAGGCACCCTTAATGCTAGCATCACACCGTGAATCAATTGTGAATCAATTGCAGCATCACATCCTTAATCCCAGCATCACACATTGTATAACGAGCCACCTCCAAAAAGCCCCACCTATGATTACCTGAGGCTTTGGGTGGACATCTAGATACAGGCCATAACCTAGCCTGACCTTCAGTCACCTTCACTCTACTCCCAGCTTATGAAGGGTTCATAAATATGTACTACATGTCATGCACGCAATTAAGATCAGAGTGAATTCTGGGTCAAGCATTTGGGTTTAGAGCCCCTGAGATGGCTCAGCACTCTGTTAATCACTCCTATCAATCACATCTAGAGATTCAGCCACAGGCACCTGGGCTGAGGAGCATATTCTTCAAATTCCAAAAGCTTGGTTTATTGGGGACTGCTGTTGTTGCTTGCTTGCTTTCTCCTTTCTTTCCTTTCCTTCTTTCCTTCTTTTTTTCTTCTCTCTCTCTCTTTTTCTTTGGTACCAGGGATTGAACTCAGTACCTTGCACTTTAGAGGCAGGCAGTGGCACCACTGAGCTAAATCCCCAGCCCATTGTTGCTATTTCTAAGACCTGTGTGCAGTGCTTTTACTTTTCTGTCAAGCTGGCACCATTTTTCTGTCTGTGCCATATCTTTTGTCAGCAAGGACTTGCCCTGAGCACAGCTTCCCATGAGCTTCAGTAGATGTAGCTCCTTGCCGATTGCTACCACGTGTACACTTGACAATTTTTTGCTCATTGTACACAAGATCCTGGACTATACCTGCTCACCATGCAGTAACATGACCACCACTTTTTCTTTCCTTTTTTAAAAATTGTACTGATGACTGAACCCAGGGCTTTCAAGCTAAGCCCTTATTTTTTTCTTGAGACAAGGGCTGGCTGAATTGATCAGGCTGGACTTAATCTTGTAATCTTGTGATCCTCCTGCCTCAGCCTCCCAGAGTACTGGTACTACAGGCACATACCACCAGACCTGGCACCACCACGTTTTAACCTGCTATGTATGAATCGAGATCTAAGCATGCTCAGGAATGTGCCCACCTCTGCATGTGATGATGATGATGATGATGATGATGATGATGAGTCTAAAATGAATATGCATGTGTTTCTCCATGAAAACTCCCTTGTTTTCCTTGTTTGGGGAAAGACATTGTTTGGGGAGTTATCCCCCAGTGCTCTCTCCCTACTTGCACAACTAACAAACCTCCCTTCATTCTTTCATCTCCTGGCTGTGCTTACTGGGTGTGTACTACCCATTGTTGAGGTAACAGAGCTATCCCCCTGCCTCAGCCTTCCTAATAGCTGGGACAACAGTCTCACTCATCACCACACACAGCTTAATTATGACTTCAAAATTTTAAAATCCAGGCATGGTGGTGTATGTCTAGAATCCTAGCACTTTGGGAGGTTGAGAAAGGAGGATAATAAGTTCATTCCCAGGGCAGGCAACCTAGTGACTGTTAGTTACTTTTCTCTTGTTTCTGAGACAAAATGCCACCACCCAAAGTTAAAGGAGGAAAGGTTTATCTTGGCTCACAGTTTGTAGAACTACAATTGACTGGCTCCAAGGCACAGTGCCATAGCAGAGGAGCATCGCAGAGGAGAAACAATTCATGGCATGGCAGAAGGCAGCAAGCAGCGAAGTAGCAAGCAGCCAGCAGCCAGCACCAGCCCCTTATATTTTATCCATGGTAAGCACTCTTAGTCCTACCCAGAACTATGCCAAATACGGGTTAGTGGACTAATTTAGTAATCACACACCCTTTATCCTGCATCACACACTCTAGATCCAGGTACCTCTGAAAAGCCCCACCTATGACTGCATGAGGCTTTGGGGGACATCTATACACAGCCGTAACAGTGACTTAGCAAGACCTAGTCTCAAAATAAATAATAAAAGGGGCCAAGGATGTAGCTCAGTGTGAAGGCCCTGGGCTAAATCCCCAGTACTGCCAAAAAATACAGATAAAACCAACTAACTGTGAGGCCTGAGATTGAAATGAAATGTCCAAAATTCAAAGGAGGAAAACTATAAAAACACTTGAATGACAAAATGGGGACTGAAACAAAAGTGAAGACATGTCATATTCTTGGAGAGAAAATTTAATCTCCTGGAGATATTCATCCTTGCTAGGTCAACCAATAAATTTAACATCAGCCAGTTAAGAATACCATTAGTTTCTTCCTTAAAGTTGGAAACAAGTTGATTACAATTTGGAAAAAACCAAATAAGAATAGCTAGATAATTCTCAAAAGACAGCAGCTTCTCAAATAAATGACAAGACACTATCTGTTCGTAGGCTGACGCTAACAAGAAAGCAGGGGAAACGGTCCAGAAACAGAAACAATGACAGATGCAAAGCAAAGATACAATAAAGAGTGTCGCAAATCAGGACTTCCTAATATGTGATGCTGCGAAAACTGGCTGGCCTTATGGGAATAGATAAAATTAAATCTATTGTTCATACCATATATCTAACACATTTTAAATAAACCAAAGACATAAATGTAATTTTTAAATGAAGCCACATAAATATCAGAAGATGGAGAAATTCTTCCACAACTGAAGTAGGGAAAACAAAGAATCAAAACTCAGGGCCAGGGATTTAGCTCAGTGGTTTCGCTGCCTGCTGCACAAGCACAAGGACCCAAATTTGATCCCCAGTACCAAAAAAAAAAAAAAAAAGAATCAAAACTCACACACAATAAGGGGAAAAGATTAATACATTTGACTACATAAAGGGGGGGGGCATGTACACACATAAAATAGCACGACCATGGCAAAAAACAAATGATTTGGGCTGGGGCACTGCCTGCTTTGTAAGCGCAAGGTCCCAAGTTCAATCCCTGGTACCAAAAGCAAAACAAAAAAAACCAAATGGCTTACTGGATATTAGAGATATAAGTCATAAACAAAGGGTAGCTATGCCTAATACATAAATAGCTCTTGTATATAAACCTTGTATAAAAAGCTATATTAGACATGAACAAAGAGTTCACTGGAAAGAAGAAAGCAAATTCCCTTAAATGTTTGAAAAGTTGCTGATCTCACTCATTGTCAGAGAGACACATGAAAGACAGAAATCCCAGCATTTATCAACACACTGAAAACATGTTCATTAATCACCCTGGAAGATGCTAGGAGATTCAGGTCATTATTTTGAAAATCAATAAATAAGGAGAAAACCATTTATCTCATTTTTGCTATATAAATGATACCTTCAAGTAACCAAATAGCAAATACCATAGAGGAAAACCAGTAAACGAAGCCTCTATAAAAATAGAATATCTGTCATTTTAAAATCTTTTTGAAAAAAATAAAGAAATCAGACATTCTGTCCATCTAGATGCATAACCTGGGAGGAGAAGCTTGGGTCTGACTACCAAAGTAAGAGAAAGACAAGAGGAAGCAGAAAAAAATACATCAAATGCTCCCCAAATGAGGCATGTGTGAAATCCAGGCTGTGGGAAATTCTGAGGTCTTCTGGCACTCAACAAATAAAATGCAAAAAGAGAAAGGGATAGAGAGAAAGAAGAGATAGAGGGTGATGTATTAAAAAAAAAGAGAATGAAGAAACATATTGATCTCTGGCCTTACATGGATTATATTATGTAGACATAGATCTAAATTTTACTCCCTTTTCCTGTTCATATGTTTTCTTTTGTCTAACTGCACTGGCTGTGTCAGGGATGGAACTCAGGGCCTTGGGCATGCTATGCTCAAGCTCTACCCCCCAACCTCTACCCCCAGGGTCACTGTGTGTCTTTTGAGCCATGCCTCGTTGCCAGGTTTCCTCTGAGGATAAAAATAGCCAGAGGAATACTAGTATTTATATCAAACTCCATCACTCACCTTGCAAAAGCAAGCAAGGCACGCTGCAGCCAGCACTAAGCTAGCTCCACACCACATTGTTATGTTTAGATTCAGGATGTCCCCCAAGTTCTCTTGTATGGAAGGTGCCTGGGTCAAGGGGGTGGCGTACTCTAGTGGATTCATCCATCGATGACTTCATAGCTGAATGTACTGTTAGGAAATGAGTCACTGGGATGGAACTTGGAAGGCAGTATTCTTGCTCCCTCTCCTTCCTGCTCTCTCTGCTTCCTGGCTTCCATGGGTTGAATGGCTTTCCTCTGCCATGTCCCTTTGTCATCCTATTTCTGCCTTGGAGCCAGCCAACCATGGACTGCAACCATGAGCCAAAAGAAATCTCTCATTTAAACTGTAAGTGTTGGGTATTTTGTCCAAGCAACAGAAAAATGACTAAGACACATATTTTTTAAATTCTTAGAAACATTCTAGGGCTGTTCTGTGTATCTCCAAGGCTGCCTCCTTCCTGTCTAGTGTGAAGGATTACTTTTATTGAGATAAAATTTACATTTTATGGGAATGTCCAAAACATAAGCATGCAGTTCATTGAGTTTCAACTAATACCTGTATAACTAAAACCCAGTCAGGATATAGACTTGTCCATCATTCCAGAAAGTTCATTCATGTCTCCTACTACCTGCTATCCCCCTTGAATACAAGCTTGATTGCTTCTAACACCTTCTGAAACATCTAACCTTCTGGGTCTCTCTGTTCACTGGTGGCTGAGCAAGCCACCTATCCAACCTACCACTGGGCCACCAAGAAATAGCAGTCACGGGTTCCAAAAAAAGGACATGAATAACCATGCCATCTATTTTACCAGCTGTCGCCATTCAGTCACTCAGGGGGAATTAGCAAGTGGACTTTTCACTTCCTGGAAAACTTTCCACAAAGCTCATTTTTCTTTCTCTCTCTTGTCCTCTGTGTCAAGCTCAGTGTCTCCATGGCTAAAATCTGTGACAAAGCAGCCCCTGATAGAGGAGATAAAGATGCCTATAATTATGTTAGCAACAGAACATGCTGTGCATTCGAATCATATAATCTTATCCCCATAGCAACGCAGAATTACGGTCCTTTGGAACCCAGTGGCAACAGCGCTCACTTAGTCCAACCTCTTAGATTAAAATAGAAACAACCCCAAAGAGTTACTTACTGCTCAGATAGCTTTCATAGCCTTCTATATATTCTTTGTTTGCAAACACCATGGAACATTGATACAATAGGATAAACATGAGGTGTCCGTTTTGGCTGCTGACTCCTAGGCTGATTTAAGTCTGAGGCTTTGGTGTTATTAGAAACAAAGGAATCCTTTGGATTGATGGAGGAAGAGCAAGTCTGCCCAGGATGAATGCAGAAATGTTAACACTGGAGACCATGGAGCTGTGGCAAGAATTCCTTGTTCATTTATCTCAACAAGTCTTCATAAGTGAAACTGCATCATCATCTGATTTTCAGGCTGCCACACAAAGATTGTCCCTCTCCTTTATCGGCCTGGAGTTACAGATTATAATAGGGGCCTCAACCCAGCTCTCCAGAGCAGAGGGCAACAATACGAAATCCACATCAGGGATGATGGTGCATGCCTATGCCCTCGGCACTCTGGGAGACTGAGGCAGGAGAATGGAAAATTCCAGCCCAGCCTGGACAACTTAACAAGATCCTGTCTCAAAATAAAAAAATTAAAAAAGGTTGTACATGTAGCTCAGCGTGAATTCCTAGCACCAAAAAAAAAAAAAAAGAAAAGAAAGGGAAAAGAAATGTAAATATGAAATCTGGATAGGGTGATAGGATACCTTTCCCTGATATATTCGTCCTACCTTTTGGATGCATCTTGTTCTAATTCAAAGCCAAGAACTCTGGAGTCCTGCAATGTCTGTCCCACCTCCCTAGAAATTTGTTACACCCTCAGATTTGCAGAGCAGGGGCATCTGAGCTGGGCATTTGAAAGATGAATGGACCCTCCTCAGGCAGACAGACACCGTGGAGGAAATGCTACATCCGCACGGGCTAGCACAGACTGGCTAAGGATCCCTAGTCCTTAAATCTGAAATGCTCCAAAATCCAAAACTTTTTGAGCTCCAATATGACTTTACAAGTGAAAACTCCACACCAGTTAACTGGTACTCTTAAGTACTTACACCGGGGAAAGTATAAGAAAGTGATTAGCCAGGTACAGTAGTGCATGCTTGTAATCCCAGCACTCTGGGAGGCTGAGGCAGGAGGATCACAAATGAAAAACTTGGTGACACAGTGAGACCCTGTGTCAAAATAAAACCTTTTAAGAAGGGCTGGGGATATAACTCAGTGGTAGGAGACCCCTGGATTCAATTCCCAGTACCATCTGCCAAAAAAAAAGATTGCTTATGATAACAAACCCAGAGTCAGGAATGATGTCAATGCCCAGCCAGATTGTCCTCATGGGTGGCTGACAGAATGATAGTTTTGCTTTCTGATGGTTCAGTGTACACAAATGTTGTTTTGTGCACAAAATTATTTCAAACGTCATATAAAATTAACTTTAGTCTATGTGTATAAGTTGTAGAGAAAACATGACTTTTGTGTTCAGACATGGCTCCCATCCCAAGACAGTTCATTACATACATGCAAATCTTCCAAATCTGAAATCCAAAACCTTCCGATGCCAAAGGGATATTCAATCTGAATCAGGACAGGAAAAAAACAAACAAAAAACTGTTTTAGTGTACTCAGAGTATAGCGTGACACATTAGGTAAATATTTCCACTTCTATCAAGAACAGAACAAAGACAATTATGAAAATGGGAGAAATCTACCAGTTATATCTTATCAAATCCTTGCAAAACCCCAAATTCACATACACAGAGACCAGCTACCTTAGAGCAGGAAAATGTGGGGCTAGAAGGTGTGATTCAGTGGTCGACTGCATACTTGGCATGCACCAGGCTGGGCGGGGGTGGCAGGGGGGGTGTTCATCTCCAACACCAAACAAAAACAAACCCCAAAGCCCCCAAAAATGCACAGGCGGGTGGGACTTCCGGTTTCTAGCCCTACAGGTAAAGATCTTGAAAGTCACCAACCTGTGCCAACAAGTAAAAGTTGAACCAACCCGCCTGCCGGGCAATTGCAAGGTCCTGAGTTTGATCCCCGGTACCGCAGGGGAAAAAGAAAGAGGTGAATCAACTGAAAAATCAGCAACTCTCCTTAGGCCCACCAGAGAACTGAGGTCCCAGAGCAAACTGTTGGCCCCCAAACTGGAGACAGAAAGGTGGGCGAGAATCATAACTTACCGAGCTTGGCTGAGGCAGCTGGTGCAGGCTCCGTGCTACACGTTTGAGATAAAAGCTCCAAGGAGACCCAGTCACCTGCCGGCTGTTTTATGTGTTTTGCCTAAACACAAAGGGGCGAGGCATCGGCTAGTGCTCCTCCAGGGAGCGGACAGTAACAAGCCGTAGCACCTGTTCTTAATGCTGCACGGTCCTCAGGAGAAGCTACTTACCGCTCATTTAGTCAGAGCCCACCTGAGCTGGGAGAAGGGCTGTACCCAGCTCCAGCCCCCTCGTCACACCGTCCCACCTGGGCAGGGGGCAGGACAAGGGTGAGACACGCGTGTGAATTTCATGGTGGAGGCACAGCCTAATCAGAAGACTGCGTCCAAGGCGAGCCCCACACTTGAGAGTTTTACCTCCAGTCCTCACAGTGAGTATCAGAGAAGTCCCCGGAGCTTCCAGCAGGGGGAGAGAAGTAATAAGCCAGAGCAGTCTGGGCTTTTTTTTGTTTTGTTTTTGTGGTGTTGCGGTTGTTGTTTGGGGGCAGTACTGGGGATTGAATCTAGAGCCTCTGCACTGAGCTACATCCCCAGCTCTTTTTTTTTCTGTTCTTTTTTGAGGCAGAGTCTTGCTAAATTGCCCCGATTTGGCTGCAGTTTAAAATCCTCCTGCCCTGGCCTCCCAGAGTGCTGGATTACTGGTGTGCGCCAGCACAACTGGCAACATTCTGACTTTCTTAACAAGGTCTGCCCTCAGGAGGAACTAGTTAACAAGAGCCTAATGTCCTGGCGGAATGGAGATAGCCAGTCCCAGCATCCTCTAGTCAGCCTATCCCACTGAGAAGCAGGCAGAAGTTCACAGTCGAGAGAAGTGGGAAGGCTCCCTGGAAGACTGAGATCTAATGAGAAAAATAGAGACGAATTGCAGTGCTCCTCCAGGGGTAGCGGAGCTAGTCTTTCTGGGAAATACCTCCATACCAACATGTGGGGAAACTCACGTCCCTTCAATTAGATGGCTTCATGCTTATGTGTACACAGGCACATACATATAATTATGGACATCCTCCCATACATGTTAACCCTGTGGAGGTCATGGTCCAAAAAAATTACAGTAGAGGTCACATGGACCCCAGAGATAAGTCGTATGTGCTTGAATGTGAAAAAAAAAGTTAAACACTGCAAATTTGCAATTATATTTTTACATGATAAACACATGGTTTTTTATTTCTTTTCAGTTATAGTCTAGAAGTTATCAAAGAAATATAACATAGGCAATATACAATTGAATGCCATACACCCTTACAAAACATACCTTATAGCCAAACTGAGAGCTTAAATATTATTGATTAATATTAGTCATGTACAGACATGTAGGTACTCATGATCTTGAACCTACATACCTGATATATGGAACAATATTTAAGAAAAGAGTTTGTTAATAACCAAATTCAGTAGAGCAGCTGGATACAAGGTAAACACTCAAAAATCAATATTCTTCTTGTATACAAATAACAGACTCATTGAGAGAGAAATTGGGAAAACAATTCCTTTCACAATAGCAACCCCAAAATTGAAATATCTAGGAATTAACCTAACAAAGGAAGTAAAAGACCTCCACTTTGAAAATTACAGCACTCTAAAAAAAGAGATCAAAGAGGATATCAGAAAATGGAAAGACATCCCTTGTTCTTCAGTAGGAAGAACCAACATAGTGAAAATGGCCTACTTCCAAAACTGCTATATAGATTCAATGCCATCCCAATTGAAATCCCAGCAGCATACTTTACAGACCTTGAGAAAACAATCCAAAAATTCATTTTTAACAAGAAGAGATCCAGAATAATAAAAGCAATTCTAGGTAAGAGAGATATGGCAGGGGGTATTGCAACCACCAACTTGAAACTATACTACAAAGCTACAGTGATAAAAACAGCATGGTACTGGCAAAGAAACAGACCTGAAGAACAGTGGAACAGATTAGAAGATGCAGAAACAACGCCAGACACACTCAGCCACCTCATCTTCAACAAAGGAGCCAGACACCCTCACTTGTGGAAAAATAGCCTTTTTAATAAATGGTGCTGGAAAAACTGGGTTTCAACTTGCCAAAGATTAAAACTAGATCTATGTCTCTCTCCATGCACTAAACTAAAATAAAAATGGATTAAAGATCTAAATATTAAAACAGAAACGTTGAACTGGCTAGAACAGAGGTTAGGTAGAATTCTTGAAGACATTGGTGTAGGAAAAGATTTTATGAACAAAACCTCAGTTGCCCATGAACTAGGACAAACAATCAA